CCCTTAGCAATTGCTTGAAGAGGTCAAATTTACATAATTTATTGTGTACTGTTTCTCCTGAAGAACTGCTCCCTCTGTTGCTACCCCTAGATTCTAGTTTTAACCACAGGAAGAAGAAGGTAGGAGGCTCAAAATGCAGACTAGTAAAGCAAGAACATGAGTTCAGTAAGAGAGGGATGTATAAAATCCTCTCAGGGGACAGGATTTAGGAGGAATACCCTGTAGCCAGTAAAAGTCACTGTCTTTCACAAAAAAAAAAAACAGTATAAAACCTTCTAAAAAAGGTTCTCTCATGGTGCCAGGCACAGAGGCAGTCTGGCTTGCACAGGTATTCATTTTGAACACTTGACCTCACAGGTTTTTGCTCGCCTTTCAGTGTAGTTTTTGTTTACACAACACATTGAGAGGACATTCTGAACCCAAAATTACCATCCAGATTTATATCCAGATCATCCTAAACTTCCCTGCTAGGAGTGGGTTTTATTTAACTTTCAACATCTCCTCATACGTAATATTATGAGATAAAATTGCCTGTGATAAACCAAGAGATTCTCTGATGAAAGATGTGATATAGTTTAATATGTAATTATATTGGGGCAGCATAGTCTTGATCTTTTATTTTCAAAGCAGAATAAAAATAAACATCCAATTTATTTATAAAATCTTTTGTCTCTTTCTCCAGTTGAGAATTAAAATTAAGGAAATGTGAGAATTAAAGCCGAGAACTTCCTTTATTTGCTTCTGAATTATAGACAGATGCAAGGTGTATAACTTTTGAGGTTGAGAAGAATAGAAATATTTGCTATACCTGTTGGACAGGTGGGATTATGCAGTTTCTATTGATACATGGTATCCAATTATAATTGTGGTAGGTTATGACAACACAGACTGTCTTAATTATACCAGATTTACTGTAGGTATGTTTAAAATAGGGGGTTTTTTCCTGTTACTGTTGATGATGGCTGAAAAAAGAAATAGCTGGGTCTCTTCAGTTTGCAGAAGAGGAGACTGAGGGAAAACCTCATTCATGTTTATAAATATATAAAGGGTGAGTGTCACGAGGATGGAGCCAGGCTCTTCTCGATGACAAACAATGATAAGACAAGGGGTAACGGACATAAGCTGGAACACAGGAGGTTCCACTTAAATTTGAGAAGAAACTTCTTCTCAGTGAGGGTAACAGAGCACTGGAACAGGCTGCCCAGAGAGGTTGTGGAGTCTCCTTCGCTGGAGACGTTCAAAACCTGCCTGGACGCCTTCCTGTGTAACCTCATCTAGGTGTTCCTGCTCCAGCAGGGGGATTGGACTAGATGATCTTTTGAGGTCCCTTCCAATCCCTAACGTTCTGTGGTTCTGTGAAAAAAAAATAAGGTACAATAGTATAAGTAGAAGACATCATCATTGATATGCATATATTTAATTTGCATTTATTCAAGATGACTAAAATAACTTACTTTTTGGCCTTTATATGTCTCAGACTTGTGTGGCAGTATTATTTGTACCAAAAATCTTTCTTTCATCGAAATTGTGATGACTACTCACATCCATGCACACATATGTATACTGCATTATGTGTTAATTTTATCATGTGGTGTGGATAAAATTCTGTAGTGTTTTTCAAAAGTATCCCTCTGCTCCAGGGGAGGTTTTTTGGGGTTTGTGCGTTTTTTTTAAACTGTTGACTTCTAAATTTTTGGTAGGCATCACATAGCAGTGACAGTCTTCACAGTCAGCTGCTGGCTACAAGCGATCTTCTTTTCCTTGCATCCCCATGGAAACAGGTCTAATTAGCACAAAACTGTTTCTAAAAATTGGTATTATATTTTAAAATGGTATCTTTACTGCACCTTATATAATTACTACGTCCATGTAATGCAAAATCAAAGCACAGCTTTGTGTTACATGTCTGGTCACTGTCCCCAGTTGTAGTTTCATTCTCAGGTGTAGGGGTATCAGAGTAGGTAGAATATTAAACTTTTTATTACTTCCATGTTTTATTATTTCGGTTTGCTAATTACTTGCTCTCCATATACTAGTTTTCAAGGTAATTATGTAAGTAACTGGTACAGTTTTGTGTTTGCTCTAAAATATAAATGTATATTCCAACTAGCTTAGGGTTGATTGCACTACTTTTTGTTGTTTTCCTGATACTTATTAGGATTAATTAAATTTTTGTTATTTTTGATGACAACCATATTTCGGATAACTTGTTCAGTTTCCCAATTTTGAACATTTGAATGGCATTGTCTGTTTCGGGTTTCAATCCTGAGCTGAGATAGTGCAGCCAAAACAATTGTGTCATTTTCTGGCACTGAGACTATAAAAGAGCATAGTCTTGCACATATTAAGCAATGCTCTGGTTAATCATTTATTGAGAAAAGAAGGAAGCTACTCTGAGAAGCTCCCAATGACATTCTGCTTTGATTAAGGCCTTGTGGGGAGGATTTTTCTTAGTATTCCTTAGGAAAATCTGCTCAAATTTGGCCAAAATCGAAATGTGTGAAAAATCAGTGTTCATGTTCTGCAGAAATCATAGAATCATAAAATGTACTGGGTTGGAAGGGACCTTTAAAGGTCTAGTTCAACCCCCATGATCTAGATCAATGATCCAGAGCTTTCATTTAATCATGATAGAGATGCTGTTGACACTTGGGATGCTTGAGGTTGGGCAGCAATTGCATCCCAGAATTGCGGATTGAGACAGAAGGGAATTATCTTTATTTTGCTTCCTTTTCTTGCCCTGCTTGACTGAGGGAGAACAAACAGAAAGCTGCAGGATGCACATTCAGAAATGACCGAAAAACTAAGTCAGTAGGGTTTGATATAGAAGAATGAACATAATGTGATGGAGTAGAAAGGAAAAGGAATAAATTGGTTTTGAATACATTGGTGGAGGGTGTGGGGGGCATATCTTGGTGTAGCCTTTTAGAATTTGTATACAAAGTGCCTTTTTATTTTTGTACTGTGTATGGCAGCTTTCAGTAAATGTGCTGTACTGTGACCAAGTAACTCAAAAGCTGTATTTAGAGAGGAGTAAAGTTGTGTTTAAACAAATGGGAGTAACAAATACATGGATGCAGCCAGTAGAATAAGGGAGCATATCTTTGGTTTTACAGTTACTTTATCTTATGCTTCTTATCGATAGGAGTGGAGATAAAACCCAGTTGTTCAAGGACCTTACAGACTTCCCTGTCATCAGGAAGAGAAAGGAAGAGATCCTAGATGTGCTTTCTAAAATCCAGCTGCATCTGCCGAACATTCGTAAACAGATCAAGAATTCTTCTGCAGAATATGTTACAGTTTCTGGTCAAGAGGTAATACAGTATCTATTTTGTATGACTGTACCCTTGCTTGTCTAGAAAATAGCTTAAAAGTTAGGCTTAACTAGAACTCTCTTCATTGAGTATGATACTTGATGAGGTTGTTTTTTGTACAACTTTAAAGAACAGTTTTGTGACATTGTCACTTTTAAAATTATTAAGTCACTTACTTTACTGATTTAAATAGTAAAAATACATTAGTGGAGTTGAATTTGGGTCAGTAATCCTTTGATTTTCTGTATATGTAAAAACACTTGCATAGTTCCAAAGCTAATTAGGTTGCTATTAAATGCTGAAATATCCTCAGAGAACCAGAAAGCACAGTATTAGGTTAATTTGAAGAATGCAGAATGATTTGTAAGTACTGATTAGGACTGTAATTGAAGGATGGGAGAGAAGAGGAACAGTATTAAAGGATGATAAATGCTATTTTAATTTTAATTCTTAGAAATGGTGGTTGTGGACTGGAGCTTTTGTTTTCTAAATGGTGTATAAGTGTGGGCAGGCTGTGTTCCAGCAAGCTGAGGAGTTCAGTACAAAAAAAAAAAAAAGCAGATCCTTCCAGATTTGTGGGGGAACTGAAAGGAGCAGTGAGGTAGCACTGTTCAGCATTGTCCTTTGGAAACTGAGAGTAGGAAGGCTCAGGAAAACTCCACAGAAAACTGGGAAAAGAAATGAGTTAGTAAGGTGAATGAGAGTTGGGGATTAAAGAGATGAATCAGTGAGGACAGGAATCGAAGGAGCTGGAAGCAGCCTCCTGTTGCATTGAGGACCAGGGAGGCTGGAAAAGACCCGAGAGATACAGCAGGGAGGAGGCAGACACTGCTGAAAGTGAGAGAAAATGTGAAAGAGGATGAATTAGAGCAGCATTTGATAAAGACCTTGGGTAGATACATCTTTTGATGTTGAAGCTGAGAAGAGGAAACGTGTGGCTAAAGAGTTGAGCAGGCTGTGTCCAAGACACAGTTTGTTCAGTGTTGGGTGCTGAAGTCCAAGAGGAAACATGGAAGACTGTGCTTGAGTATTGTATGAGTAAGGGAAGAGCCAGGATATGAAACGTCTGTCACAGAGAGGCTGAATTAAGAGGTGGATGATGACATGTGTGAAGGAAAGGAGAAGAATTGATCCAAGAGAGGAGAATATCTGAGGAAGCAGAGAGATGTGGACTGGACAGGAGTTTCAGAAACCACCAGTGGCTATACACACGTTTCAGAGAGAAGGCCTTTGTAGCAGGAGGTGACTCAGAAGCCATTGCAGACGGAGAGATCTATCTTGGTATATTCATGAAAGCTGCAGAGGTCAGGGATAGCTGTTATTTAATTACATCTGGTATGGGTGTTTCAAAGACATCAAAAGAGAGAGTAGAGAAAGGGTTAGAAAAGTGAGGAAAGAAAAGACACTAAACTGATGGAAGTAATGAAAAGGGAATTGTATGGGAGGAACAGAGCGTAGGCCTAACAAGAGTATCTTTGAGTTGAACTCTTTCTTCATCAGACCTGTGTGGTGTATTCCTCTTTTCTTCTTATAGCAGTCTGATGGATGTAATATTAAAATGCTGCTTCGCAACAGACTTGAACAGAAACATGTTTATGGTTTGCTAGTTCTGGAGGAGAGAGAAACTGTCAGGAAACTTTTATAAATACACACACAGACACACACACACACACACACACACACACACACACACACATATATATATCTCCCTACTCTGAATGTCTGTCCAGAGAACAGGCCTTCTTGGAGAAAAGATAAAAAATAAATCAAACTGTATGCTCCCTTATGTGTTCCTCTAATTCCATAATTGTGAATATATGGTTTGATTTTCAGAGTCAGACCACAGTTTAACTTATATTTGTTAAGTTTCTGTTAGAATTCTGATGAAGATTTGGCACATACCTTTTCCAAAATATGAGGTTACGCCCATATCTATCTTATCTTTTGTTTCCAGACCTCTAATGTAATTTGTATTGTGCACTAAACAGGACAGAAAGCTGTCTGGATAGTGATAGCATTGCTATTAATTTCAGGCGGGATTTAGAGAGAAATTTCTACATTTGGCAAATACTTGCTTCTTGCATTGCATAAGCAATGCTTTGGTCCCAGTTTATTTAATACTGCAATTATTTATCTAATAGGGCTAAGAATTAAAGGATGAAAAAGCAAATACTTTTGTTGTCTTGAAGAACGTTGCAGCCTCTCTGCTTCTTTCTCACTAGCCACGCAAACAAATCAGGCAATTTCACTGACTGTGTTAATTTGGACTGTTTTGAGTTCATTAACGCATCCAGCATAGTCACAAATGTGGTACTGTTTTCTGTCTTCCTTTGTTAAACGCAGTATATTTAATTGTTTTGAGATGAACTTCAGAAAAAACTGTAATACCAGCACATCAGCAACTTCACTACTGGCTGCAGCATTTGTCTCATTTTCAAATATTTGCAGATGTCTGATTCTACCCATTTTCAGTCTTTTTATCTTATATATATTATGTAATTTCGTGGTTTCTACAGTATGAAATATTTTAAAAGTCTTAGGTGAATTAAGAACTAGTGCACTATGTCCTTGCTGGAGCCTTGTGCTCATGTTAGGATTATTATTCTTGTTCTAGTGAGGTGTGGAAGTTTTTATCCAAATCATACTAACTGTAATGGAAAAGATCTGTCAGATGAGAATCTCTTGGTTTTCTGTAAAGGTGATCAGATTCTGGGTTAATCTAATCTCTGCTAGAAATTATTTTATCAGCTTAACTCTTTTATTTGAGAAAGCCTTAATTCTTTGAGGTCTAGAACCTCAGGCTTGTGTTATAGAGCTAACCAGCATGAATCACCTAAAATACTGCAATAAACGTATTGTGTAAATTTCACTGCTCCGAGCCTCTTGCCATTACTGCTGGTTTCCCCTGTTCCTTCACTTTCTGACCCTGACTTGATCCAAACTTGAAGCAAGGTACTGTAGACAGAGTGGTAGCATTTGAGATTTTGAGCTCTTGTCTGTGAAGTGGTGTTAGTAAATATGGCTCAGTTTGAATCACTGATCCCTAGGCAGGAAAGCATCTCTCACTGATAAGGAGTAGCGTTATGGGTGGTATGTAGTGTGGAGTCTGTGTAAATGCTGAATTCTCTACAAGGCCTAGTCAGGATCAGGTAAGCAAGACTTACTTACTAGCTTTAGTCTGGTCGTGGCATTATAAGAGGGAGTGAGCAGAGTGGGTTAGTGGATGGAGGAATAGAAGAGCAGAAGTGGGACACCAACATGGTGGGGCACAGAAGACCTCAGGATAAGAGTTGCTCTTTCAGCAGAAACTGGGTATGTCCCCTTTCATCTAGGGAAAAGAACATCAGCTCCTGGTCTGCTCAGTCTCTTCAGACTATGGTTTTCCTCTAATGCATGCAGATTTCTTGATATATGATGATTATGGTTCTGTAGTCTTCCTAACTCTCATGATGTGTAATATTACATTTCTGTTTGTTTTAGTTTTTGGTAGAAGTCAAGAATTCCCGTAAATCGTCTGTGCCATCTGACTGGGTTATGGTTAGTAGGTATGTAAAATGTCTTTGAAGTCTGTTCTATTTTAATATGTAAGAAAAAAAATATATTTTGGTATTACAATTATTTACATACCATTCTCATTACTCCACGTGTTTCTGTTTGGGTTTTTTTTAAACTGAAAACCAACCAAACAAAATTGTTCTGATAATTTATTGCCATAATAAATTTCACCTAAAACCAAACAAACAAAACTGAAAAAAAAATTGTGAAACATTTGTTTTACATACAAGATCCTTAGTGCACTATGTTACTTGCTTAATCTTTCAAAGTACAGGTACTCTTGTCAAAATGTTGGTCTTGATTCAGTTGTACCTGTAGTTTGTTCATGCAAATTTTTCATAAGATTTTGATTGTTGTTATTTTATTCAGAAAGGTAAAGATAGCTGTGCAGGTATCTGTGCATCTCAATAAACTCAGGGTATTTAAAATGTTGGTTTGCTTTTTTATACAGAGAAGCTTTGCTTGCTCTGGTACTTAGTGTTATGTAAGCTTGATTTTAGGCAGTTTTGGATACTTTTTCTAGTGGGTGCAACAGAGGTGGACTGAATTGTGTAGTTTACTTTTTTCTTTTCAGTCATTTGTTTTATTATTTAAACAGGTTGAATACCTTCATATTACAATGTGTATGGTCTGTGCAAACACTGAATTCTCTGCCAGGCCTGGTGTGTAATGTGCGAGCACAGACATCTTGCACCAGAAATAGGCATAATCAAGGTGAAATCTGAAGTGATGTTCTATTCACTTATGCAAGGATTCAGTATTGAAAGTATGCGGATTAGAGAGAATTAAGATGATGAAGAACAAATTACAGCTAGTCTGGATTTTGTAAAATAATGCCTGGGAATACCAAAGTGTATGAATTTATGTATGAAAATACATAAATAAACAGCAAGTACCAGAAAGGGAAACTAGCAACACAATTTGTATTTACTAAGTTTACTTCAGGCCTATAATAAAGTTTCCTTCTTTAAAGTGAATATTTTTTCTGTGAGTTCATTCTGTATGCAATCAGTCACAGAAAAGTAACCCATTTGTGCAGTGTATTGCTGAACAGAATTTTGTGAAATATATAAACTTCATTGATATATGCAACATTGTGGAAAAAAAATTCAAAAGCCTTCTGAATGGACAATGGTGCAGTAACCAATCACTTTATTAACAATAAAGATCACTGGAATCAATAGTTTGGTACCACAATTTTTTTTTAACATCCATTTTCAAGGCTCAGAAAGAGTAAGAAAACTAGTCCAATTTTGCATGTAGATGATGTAACTGATTGCTTAGTAACCTTGATTTCCTATTTGGCTTTTCTCTCTTTCAGTACAAAAGCTGTCAGCCGTTTCCACTCTCCTTTTGTTATAGAAAATTACAGACATCTGAATCAGCTCCGGGAGCAGCTAGTCCTTGACTGCAGTGCTGAATGGCTAAATTTTTTAGAGTGAGTTTACAAAATAGAGTCAGTTTTTATAACTGTAGTTTATTTTATTTCATTTTTGCTTTAAGAACAGAAAAAGAAAGATGTTTATCATAGGAAAAAAAAGGTCGATAATTCAATTATATTGCCCACAATGACTTTAAAGATAGTCAATTAAAATATTGTTCTTCAATTTAAAGCATTTGAAAGCAAGACCTTTGCAGACTGAGTCCTGACACCAGTGATGATATCTCTAGATTTTAAAATTCTGATTAAAATACATGATTCAATACATATAGTGGCTCTCAAAATTTGAAAACTAGTATCAGAGCATCAAGTACCTGAAAATACAAATGTCTGTAAATGAATGAAACTGAATCTAGTACTGTTATTATTGAA